ATCAGCATATCATCATCTTTTCAATTTTAAAATTGGGTTATGCATTGTGTTTCCCAAAAAGTGTGTTTGAAAAACCGCTGCGCAAATAACATGTGACATAAAAAAATGCCAAAACCACCAATTTATTCTCTAGAGCAGTGGTTCTCAACCTTTCTAATGCCGCGACCCCCTTAATACAGTTTCCTCATGTTGTGGTGACCCCCAACCATAAAATTATTTTCATTGCTACTTCATAACTGTAATTTTGCAGTGGGAGGAGTAGTGCCATGTCATTGGTGTCAGTGAAAGGAGTAGTGCCCCATCACTGATGTCAGTGGGAGGAATAGTGCCCCATCGTTGGTGTCAGTGGGAGGAATAGTGCCCCATCGTTGGTGTCAGTGGGAGGAGTAGTGCCCCATCGTTGGTGTCAGTGAGAGGAGTAGTGCCCCATCGTTGGTGTCAGTGGGAGGAGTAGTGCCCCATCGTTGGTGTCAGTGGGAGGAGTAGTGCCCCATCGTTGGTGTCAGTGGGAGGAGTAGTGCCCCATCGTTGGTGTCAGTGGGAGGAGTAGTGCCCCATCGTTGGTGTCAGTGGGAGGAGTAGTGCCCCATCGTTGGTGTCAGTGGGAGGAGTAGTGCCCCATCGTTGGTGTCAGTGGGAGGAGTAGTGCCCCATCGTTGGTGTCAGTGGGAGGAGTAGTGCCCCATCGTTGGTGTCAGTGGGAGGAGTAGTGCCCCATCGTTGGTGTCAGTGGGAGGAGTAGTGCCCCATCGTTGGTGTCAGTGGGAGGAGTAGTGCCCCATCGTTGGTGTCAGTGGGAGGAGTAGTGCCCATCGTTGGTGTCAGTGGGGGGAAGAGTAGTGCCCCATCGTTGGTGTCAGTGGGGGGAGTAGTGCCCCATCGTTGGTGTCAGTGGGGGGAGTAGTGCCCCATCGTTGGTGTCAGTGGGGGGAGTAGTGCCCCATCGTTGGTGTCAGTGGGGGGAGTAGTGCCCCATCGTTGGTGTCAGTGGGGGGAGTAGTGCCCCATCGTTGGTGTCAGTGGGGGGGAGTAGTGCCCCATCGTTGGTGTCAGTGGGGGGAGTAGTGCCCCATCACTGGTGTCAGTGGGGGGAGTAGTGCCCCATCACTGGTGTCAGTGGGGGGAGTAGTGCCCCATCACTGGTGTCAGTGGGGGGAGTAGTGCCCCATCACTGGTGTCAGTGGGGGGAGTAGTGCCCCATCACTGGTGTCAGTGGGGGGAGTAGTGCCCCATCACTGGTGTCAGTGTGGGGGAGTAGTGCCCCATCACTGGTGTCAGGGGGGGGAGTAGTGCCCCATCATTGGTGTCAGTGGGGGGAGTAGTGCCCCATCATTGGTGTCAGTGGGGGGAGTAGTGCCCCATCATTGGTGTCAGTGGGGGGAGTAGTGCCCCATCATTGGTGTCAGTGGGGGGAGTAGTGCCCCATCACTGGTGTCAGTGGGGGGAGTAGTGCCCCATCACTGGTGTCAGTGGGAGTAGTGCCCCATCACTGGTGTCAGTGGGAGGAATAGTGCCACATCATTGGTGTCAGTGGGAGGAATAGTGCCCCATCATTGATGTCAGTGTGGTGGAGGGGAGAATAGTGCCCCATCATTGGGGTCAGGGGGGGGGGGGAAATAGTGCCCCATCGTTGGTGTCAGTGGGGGGAGGAATAGTGCCCCATCGTTGGTGTCAGTGGGGGGGAGGAATAGTGCCCCATCGTTGGTGTCAGTGGGGGGAGGAATACTGCCCCATCGTTGGTGTCAGCGGGGGGGGAATACTGCCCCATCGTTGGTGTCAGTGGGGGGAGGAATACTGCCCCATCGTTGGTGTCAGTGGGGGGAGGAATACTGCCCCATCGTTGGTGTCAGTGGGGGAGGAATACTGCCCCATCGTTGGTGTCAGTGGGGGGTCAGGAATACTGCCCCATCGTTGGTGTCAGTGGGGGGAGGAATACTGCCCCATCGTTGGTGTCAGTGGGGGGAGGAATACTGCCCCATCGTTGGTGTCAGTGGGGGGAGGGAATACTGCCCCATCGTTGGTGTCAGTGGGGGAGGAATAGTACCCCATCGTTGGTGTCAGTGGGGGGAGGAATAGTGCCCCATCGTTGGTATTAGTGACACAAATGATGGGGCACTATTCCTCCCACTGACACCAATGATACTTACCTTGCTGACCCCTGCTCCAGCCTGGGCTCGCTCTCTCACTTACCTGTCAGCTGTCTTCCTTCTCTGGCCTCTCCTCTTCACTCGCTCCCTCGGTCTTCTTTGATGTACGCGCGCTGCCGCTTGGCTCCTCCTCTCCAAGCTCCACCTCCTCGCCGGTGATTGGCCGCCTGTGTGCCTCTCCTGAGCTACAGTTCCGGTGGCCAATCAGCGGCGAGGAGGCGGAGCTGCTGAGCGATCCCAGAGGTGTGGCCGGGTGACAGCAGCGTATCATCCTGCCCACACATCGCCGGAGACTGCAGCGGTGTCTCGGTTCCTAAGACCATCGGAAATATGTGTTTTCCGATGGTCTTAGGCGACCCCTGGGAAATGGTCGTTCGACCCCCAAAGGGGGTCGCGACCCCCAGGTTGAGAACCGCTGCTCTAGAGCCTCTGCTTTAAAAAATATATATAATGTAATATTATTGGTAGTGCTAAGACATTTTCTAGTAAAAAATACTGATTTTAAAATGTAAACAATATTGCCAGAAATGGCTTGGGGTTGAAGTGTTTAACAGAACTGCTGGTGGATTGGGTTGTGTGTGTAACCTATTAGAAAGTGCAGACTTTTTTTCATGTACATTTTTTTAAATTTTATGTAGATAGGACATTTTTTGGGTGCTCAAAGTGGAATATAATTTTTTCAAATCTGTTTTGTTAGCTTACGTTTTTTTAGCATGTTGCTGCATCTTTTGAACGAAAAAAAAAAGAAAAACAAATGCAAAATCAGCATGCAGCAAAATCACCTCACACTGTCACCCATACACTATATTACCAAAAGTATTGGGATGCCTGTCTTTGCACGCACATGAACTTTAATGGCATCCCAGTCATAGTCCGTAGGGTTCAATATTGAGTTGGCCCGCACTTTGCAGCTATAACAGCTTCAACTCTTCTGGAAAAGCTGTCCACAAGGTTTAGAAGTGTGCCTATGGGAAAATTTGGCCATTCTTCAAGAAGCGCATTTGTGAGGTAAGGCACTGATGTCAGACGAGAAGGGCTGGCTCGCACTCTCCGCTCTAATTCATCCCAAAGGTGTTCTAATTGGGTTGAGGTCAGGACTTTGTGCAGGCCAGTCAAGTTCCTCTACCCCAAACTCTCTCATCCATGTCTTTATGGACTTTGCTTTGTGCACTGGTGCGCAGTCATGTTGCAATAGGAAGGGGCCATCCCCAAACTGTTCCCACAAAGTTGAGAGCATGAATTTGTCCAAAATGTCTTAGTATGCTGACACCTTAAGTGTATTCTTCACTGGAACTAAGGGGCCAAGCCCAAACCCTGAAAAACAACCCCACACCATAATCCCCTCCCACCAAATTTTACACTTGGCACATTGCAGTCAGGCAAGTACCGTTCTCCTGGCAACCGCCAAACTCAGACATGTACATCACATGCCAGACAGAGAAGCATGATTTGTCAATCCAGAGAACATGTCTCCACTGCTCTAGAGTCCAGTGGCGGTGTGCTTTACACCACTGCATCTGACGCTTTGCATTGCACTTGGTGATGTAAGGCTTGGATGCAGCTTTATTCCATGAAGCTCTCTACGCACTGTTGTTGTGCTAATCTGAAGGTCACACAAAGTTTGGAGGTCTTTAGCTATTGCAGACAGTTGGCGATTTCTGCGCACTGCGTGCTTCAGCATGCTCTGACTCCGCTCTGTCATTTTACGTGTCCTACCACTTCATGGCTAATTTGCTGTTCCCAGTTGCTTCCACTTTGTTATATTACCACTGATAGTTGACCGTGGAATATTTAATCACAAGGAAATTTTGCGGATGGACTTACTGCACAGCAACCTATCACAGTACAACACTTGAATTCACTGAGCTCCAAAGAGTGACCCATTCTTTCACAAATGTTTGTAGAAGCAGTTTGCATGCCTAGGTGCTTGATTTTTTATACCTATGGCCATGGGAATGATTGGAACACCTGAATACAATGATTTGAAGGGGTGTCCCAATGCTTTTGGCAATATAGTGTATGTACTGCACCCTCCCATGCTGTGCCACATTTGCTTTAAGACAGATAACTAAGCGACTACATCACCAATGATTGCTCAGTTCTTGGCCTGCTAATAGCAGAGAGCAGTGACTGTCAGTCAATGCTCTCTGCTCTGCACCTCCAGTTCTCACTGCAGTAACGGGCAAAGAGGGGTTGGGCACAGCTGACATTGGCTCACAGCCACACACTGAGGGCTTGAGCCAGCTGTCAATCAGGCATCTGGATGGATCCAAACAATATGGTTGGAATCCATCCAGAGCCTGGAGCGCTTCTGTGATGTCAGCTGATAGTGGGCAATACCCTGCTATCAGCTGACTCTGGGTCCCAAAATAGCAAAAGTAAGTGCACTTCATTTTTATTTTTATTCTAATTTTTTATTTTTCATATACAATATATATATATTTGTTTCATTAATGTTTTCTTTAGTTTATTTCAATATTTTTTCCTTTTTATTCTTTATTTTGTTTTCATTTGTATTTCATTTTTATTTTCTTTCTTCATTTTCACTTTATTATTTTTCTCAGTTTCTTAAAATTTTAATTGTTTTATTTTTTCTTTTCATGTTTAACTAATTGCCGACCGCAGATAGCCGAATGACGGCTGCACTGCGGCCGGCCAGTTCTGGGTGGACGTCATATGACATCCTCCCAGAACGTGCTCTCCTGCGCGCCCCCTGGGGTGCGTACCTGGCGATCTCCGTGATCGCTGTGTCCTACGGACACAGCTGATCACGTGATGTGGTAAAAGGCCAATCACTGCGGTCTTTTGCCACGTGATCAGCCGTGTCCAATGACACGCTGATCACCGGGAAAATGCAAATGCCGGTTCTTGGCTGCACTTTCCTCACGCTGTCAGATCGTGAGGAAAGTACTGCCGAAAACCGGCAGTTGTCAGAGCGGGGATCAGCACCGATCATCAGGGTCACTAATCACCAGTGCCCTGATGATTGGTGCCCAGCAGTGCCACACACAAGTTCCACCCACCTGTGCCCAGCAGTGCACCCACCTGTGCCCAGCAATGCACCCACGTGTGCCCAGCAGTGCGCCCACCTGTGCCCAGCAGTGAGCCCACCTGTGCCCAGTAGTGCCACCCACCTGTGCCCACCCACCTGTGCCCACCAGTGCCACCCACCATGTGCCCATCAGTGCAGCCCAGCAGTGCTGCCAGTCAGTGCCACCAGTCAGTGCCAGCGGTTGTGCCAGTCAGTGCCGCCAGTCAGTGCCCAGCAGTGATGTCAGTCAGTGCCACCTATCATCAGTGCTGTCTATCAGTACCCATTATCAGTGTTGCCTATCAGTGCCACCAATCATTGCCGCATATCAGTGCCACCTATCTGTGACACCTCATTAGTGCTGCCTATCAGTGCTGCCTATCCATACCACCTCATCAGTGCCGCCTATCAGTGCCCTTCAGTGCTGCCTATCAGTGCCCATCAGTGCCGCCTATCAATGCCCATCAGTGCTGCCTCATCAACGCACATCAGTGAAGGAGAAAAATTACCTGTTTGAAAAATTTTATAATTGAAAAACAAAAAAACTTTTTTTTTTCAACATTTTTTGAATTTTTTTGCTTATAGCACAAAAAAGTAAAGTGCCCAGAAGCGATTAAATACCACCAAAAGAAAGCTCTATTTGTGAGAAAAAAATGATAAAAATTTCATATGGTACAATCTTGCATGACTGCGCAATTGTCAATCAAAGTGCGACAGTGCTGAAAGCTGAAAATTGGCCTGGTAAATAAGGGGGTATAAGTGCCCGGTAGGCAAGTGGTTAAACACACTTTTTTCCTATTCAAACAAATGCTTGCTCAAGACTTTTTCATCTTTCTTTCTTCATTACCCTTTTCTCACATCACTTGTTCACAACACCTGCTTTCACGACCAATGATCCTATGTATAGCTCTTGAGCTGTTCGTTCACCAAGCCTCTGTGACCAAGCCCCCTATGGGCGGGGTGAAATTCATCAGAGGGCATGGCCATAGTGATGGCTGAAGCCATCCTACCATATCCCGTTCTTCTCTGACTCCTGGGGTTCAGTTTTAGCGGCATCCAACCTCATCTATACCCCTAAGTGTCTGGAGTTACTTGGGATGATGCTCCAATCTTTTCTTCTTTGCCGGTGGGATGATCTTCATTCTCTGTCAGTCTTGAGCATCTTCATGATTTCTATTACCCTCCATGACTGCCTGTCTCGGCTGCATGCTTCCTCTCTCCCTATATATATATTTTTTTTTTTTTCAAGAAACTCCAAAACTTATATTAATCCATTCACCAACAGTGCAAGGCCATATCCTACAAGCCCCCTGCACCTCCTTTTCTGCACCTACTATTTACATTTTCAACAACACATACTTTTGACTCACTTGCCCTGCTCTTTGTTGCTGCTCAGTAACTGAGGCTATATATCATTGACCTGCCAGTGATGTGCTCCTAATATGCTGAATTGGGGCTCGAGACCAGATGTGCCTTTAATGTTCCTGCGCTTTCATGTCCCCATTTTCCCCGTTTTCTTTTCCTTTTTTGATTGTATTCTCTACCTGGGGATGACTTATGTCTGATTTACTGTATTGTTATATATCTTTTTGGTTTGACGTCTGTTTATTACTTCCTATTGTACTTCCACCTGATCCATTGTATTATCTGTATTTTTTGTATGCTCGGAGTTTATCAATAAACTTTATGGAAAAAAGAAAATAATCCATAGAAAAGAAATCACAGCACCAGACTTAAGGAGATATGTTGTCGAATTCCACGCCAAGAAGCACTCATGCATATTTCTGAATAATGTTAGCGTGAAACACGTCAACACACCTCCCCGAGTCTGTGCTGCGACGTCTGTTCTGTTTTTTTTTTAATTAATATTTTATTAAGTTTTACATTTCATCTATTCCATCCATAATAAAAAAAAGAATTCAATACAACTTATTCAATTATTTTCACTCAAAATGCAAAATTACAAAACTTCCCCTTCCCCCCACCCTATCCCAATCAATACCTTCCCTTCCCACTACCCCCCCCCCCCTCCACTCAGCACCATTCCTCTCTCTTTTGGGGTCCTAGAGTTTTTCGTCCATTCCTATATACTTTCAATTAGTTTGATCTTCTTAAACTCCTCCCACTTTTTCCATTTTTCACAAAAACATTCCATTTAATCCTCATCTATATGATATAATTCTAATCCAATCCGTTATTTTTGGTACTTTTCCTGTTCCATCCAAAATTTAGTAATCAGACTCTTTGCTGCGTTAATATAGTGCAGTAACCCAGAATTTTCATACCTTTCAATTGTTAATTCTGTTCTATGTAGAAGACATATCTCTGGTTCCCTTTAATATTTTTACCCCAGTTATTTCTTGTATCTGATGGATTATTTCTTCCTAATAATTTTTGAATTTTGTAACACTTTCATTTATGTGACCTACTGTGCCCTGTTCCCCACAACCCCTCCAACATAAAGGTGATTTATCCCTATTTTGTTTGTGTGCTATATTTGGTGTCCATATACCACCTCACCAAACATTTGTAGTTCATCTCTACATCTTTCAAAGTCACATTACCGTGTGTTAACTTATACAGTAAATCTTTTTTTTGTTTATCTTCCTCTATCCTTATTCCTAATTCTCTCTTTCCCATCTTTCCATATAATGCAGGGACAGTGTTTGTTGTTAACCTAGTAAAGATTTTAGATATATTTTCGAAGTTCCATGTTTCCCATCTCCCCGTGTACTCAACAGAACTTCAAACGGGTTCCACTGTTTTGTCTTCCTTAAGGGCTTAGGGAGTTTTTTCTATAAAAGTGTTTCATTTGTAAATACCGCCACTTGTCTATTTTAGTAAACAACTCCTTCTTTTTATTTCTACTAGGGGGCAGATTTCCTCACCTCTCATTAATCTCTTAAACTGAGCATCTCCTTTTTTTATCCATCTCCCTGCAACCTTTTCATTCCCTGGTGGAAAAAAATCCGTGTTTACAATAGGCATCAACATTGAGTTATATTCCCATCTCATCTGTTTGTGCATTGTGTCCCAAGCTCTCAAAAAAAATTTTTTTTTAAATATTTTGTGCTATCATTCCACGACAGTGAGGTGGTAACCATATACAGTAATCTTATCCAAATGTGTGTTTTACGTAATGTGCTTCCTATATCTATCCAACTCTTCCCCCGTGTATTTGTGTCCAATCAAAAATTTGTGCTATCAATACTGAGTTTATAATATCTTTTGAAATCCGGAACACCATTTCCCCATTTTCTTTGTCTATAGTTAGAACTTTGTAGCTTATTCTAGGTTTTTTTTTTTCCATATAAATTTTAACATAATCTTTTTCATTATCCCGAAATAATTGTCCTGGCAGCTTTATTGGAATCATCTGAAATTTATATAAAACTTTTTGGAACTAATTACATCATTTTAATTAGGTTTGGTTTGTCCTATCCAAGATATACAACCTGTTTCACATTCTCTCAATTCATTTTTGATTTCATTTAATAATGAATATAATTTACTTTATATAGGTATTCTTTAGGGATATAGCTAAATTTATTCCCAAATATTTTTAGTCCTTTTTCCTTCTAAGAGAAGGGAAATTCTTTTTGTAATGCTTTTTTCCTCTCTCTCCTCTTGGAAGGTTTATATTCCGAATTTCTATTTTAGTTGGATTAATTTTTAAAGCTCCCCATACACGCCTTCAGTGTTTTCATTAAATTGGGGTGATGTTATCCTTGGGTTACCTACATAGAACAACAAGTCGTCAGCATATGCCGCTACTTTATGCTCTATTTTTCCTATCTCAATTCCCTTAATATCTGTATTTTTCTTATTTTTACTTGGAGGGGTTCTAAGGACAGAACAAACAGCAAAGGTGACAATGGGCATCACTGCCGGGTCCCGTTATACATCTTAAAGCTCTCTGATATTTCCCTATTAACCTTTATTGCAGCAGATGGTTGACTGTACAATTTCCCTATCCATGTTCTCATTCTAGGACCTATCTCCAGAGCTTCCAGTCTACTCTGTCGAGCGCTTTCTCAGCATCTACTGACAATAACAAAGCAGGAATTTTTCTCTTTTACTGTTTTGTATAAGCATTATTGATCTTAATCCATTATCCCTACCCTCCTTCCCCAGGGACAAACCCCACTTGATCCATGTGGATCCACTCCGGCATTAAATCTTTTAACTCTATATTTGCTAAATGTTTTGCATACAGTTTAGTGTCTATATTTAATAAGGATATCGGTCTATAGCTAGAACACTGTGTACTATCTTTCCCTTCTTTTGGTATTATTGTAATATGAGCCTGCAGGGATTCCTCTCTCATTCCCATCTCCCCTCCTAATGCATTCATATATATACTCAATTTAGGTATCAATTGATCTTTAAAATGTTTTATAGTATCTCACAGTTTATCCGTCCGGTCCGCCTGGGCTTTTCCCTGCCATAGTACTCTTCAATGCATTTGGATTTTCTTCTTCTGATATTGATCTCTCCAGGATATTAACTGCTCTTCCCTCAATTTTGATAACCCTACCTCTTTTAGGTATTATATCTTTCTTTTTTTCTTTTTTCTTCCTCTTCTCTTATGGGCCGTTGGGGGAGGATTAATATTAAATGGTTATTACTATAATAATCTTTAAACACTTTTTGCGATGTTATTGGTAGAATATTTTAGTTCTCCTTTAATTTATCTCTTACTTTTTCAATATAGTTCTTACTTTTCTTTTTTTCTTTGAGCTCTCATTAACCATTTTCCTGGTCTATCTCCCCACCGATATCTTCTCACTAATCATCTTGTTAAACACTCTCCTTTTTTCTTCCTCCATTAAATTATATAGTTCTTCTCGTTTTTCCCATTACCTTCTGCTTAATCTGTTTTGTTATTTTTCTTTTTATGCACCTGTTCTAATTCAAATAATTCTCTGTGAAGCGTATTCATTCTCTCTTTCCTTTCCTTTTTCTTCTTCGCCCCAATCGCTATTAAGATTCCTCTAATATAGGCCTTATGGGCTTCCCACACAGTCTCCATTGACACCTCTTCAGTCTCATTTCTTTCAAAATATTGGTCTATTTCTCTTTTAATTGTCTGTTCCGTCCCTGATCCTGAAGTGTCTCATTTAGTCTCCATGTGTTTGTCTTTTTATGTTTCTCTTCCCCATATTAACCTCATTATGACAGGTGCATGATCCGATAGTGTTATAACTTCTACCTTTGCTTTCACCAACGACTCCTATAAGTCTGTGATCTAGCAA